TGGTGGGGGAAGGGGCGAGTAATTGGAGGGCGATCCCCCCAGCAGCCCTATAGATACGCCTCTGTCCAGGACGACCTGGGCGTCTTTAAGCTGTTTTAAAACGATTTCAAGGAGTGTTTGTTTTTAATAGAGCCACGTACAATTTGAGTTTTAATGTACATTACGTTTAATTTGAGCACTCAAACTATAATGTACACCGTACATTTCTTTACTTAAACAAACAAAAAATGCATAGGCATACTGATCGAATTTTAGTAACGCGTCAGTGAATTAAGTATTCACGTAAATACTTTTTAATGACTCAATTACTGCATGACCGTTTTTATACTTTTAATAAAACCAATTCCTGTTTTCTGCAAAATGCGTGTTTCAAAATCACATGAAAGGCGGGACCGTCCCGCACGATGCGAGACGGTTGGTAACTATGTCTTGAGTCATACCGTACTATCTCCATGCTATCTTGTGGCTGTCTCCTAAGAGAGAATGCACCGGCTATACAGGCTGTCAGCATCTATTTCCGGATATTTAAGTGCCAAAAAAAGTTGAGGGCAGGGGTGGATATGCTCTCAGACCCCACTAAATTTAAATCATGTATCCGTAGAATGGGGTGGCAATTTCAAAACCAAATGTCCCCAAACGGCCAGACCACTTTCAAAATGCTTCCGACAGCTATGCCTGATGATTGAGGCTGTGCCCTCATGAAACAGTCTGTAGTGCAAAATAAAATGTTGAGTTTGTAACCTAGTTTCTTTGATTGCTTATTTATAGTGCTCTACGTGTGTATTGAGCACTTTCGTCTTCATGATCTGGTTCAAACTAACCACGCAGATTATATATATATATATATATATTAATAAATATTTCTATGTCTCCTACAAGTCAAAGTATCGTAGCAGTTTATTTTGTCTGCGTCTACCTACTGATTTATTCATACGATGAGACATACGTGGATCCACATCAACAACACCGATTGAATATGAATTTATATATATATATATATATATATATACATATATAATATATAATATATAATAAAACAACAAACGTTTGTTAACCCTGAAGAAGGGAGCAGGCGGTTGACGTTTTCCCAGGATATATAAAAATGTATTTAATAACGAATATTTCGCTCTCTTCTTCAGCGTAATGCCTACTGATTTATACATATAGGCATTAAGCTGAAGAAGAGAGCAGGCGGCTCCCGAAATATTCGTTATAAATAAATTTTAATATATCCTGCAAGAAATAAGATAAGTTTTTACACTAGAACGATTTGATAACGATTGATCAGTTATGCTATAACAACATATTTGACAAATCAAATCAGATGACGTCATAATCATAGAAAACATTAAAATCGTAATAGTAGCAACGATTTTATCGTTTTCCATGATTATGACGTCATCTGATTTGATTTGTTAAAATATTTTGTTATCGTATACACGAACGATAAATCGTTATCGAATCGTCCTAGTGTAAAAACTTCTCTTATTTCTTTTGTTTTCTATATGAACAATCTTTTTTTAGCTTTTTTATCGTTATAGTTATCGTTGAAGTATAAACAGGCTTTTTTTACCACACAGGTGGGCGTGGTTTAACGAAGAATGACTGTCGAATACGGCCATTTCTTTTATATTATTTTACTAGAAAAGAGGGCGCTACTCAAAGTAAATATTTACCATATTTACCAAGATATTTAAAAAAACGTGTTACGGCCTGGTGGGTAAAAGTTTCCAACAAGACAGCAAAAACAAGCTCAAGACAGGTATGTTAGAAAGCCAGTGCTGCTAGAAAGTATTAGTTGATCTTGATTGCTAGGCATTTCGCATTTTGTCACTTCACGATTGACTTTTAATTAATCTGACATAAGTTCATAAGGACTACCTAACTAAAGCCTACCTAGGCCTAGGTCGGCACGTCCTAGCAAGGAGGTAGGTAGTAGAGTTAAATGCTGGTCACTTCGGCCCAGCCAACGTTTTAGTATTTTAACATTAACGGTTTTTTAACGTGTCCGATTTATCATATTTGATACTTTAATTCTGTTGCTTTAATAATTTGTTTTGATTCGATTATGATATGTTTAAACGTGTTTTAAACGTGTCAACTCGGCCCACTCGGCCCCAAGCCAACTCGGCCCAGACGACAACTTTATATGAATATATAAATATATATACGATTATATTGATTTATTTCCGTATCATTTGGGTAGTTGGTTTTGGTCCGAGTATTTGTCATGGGCCAAGTTGGTTTTGGTCCGAGTTGGTTTGGGGCGATTTGGTTTTGGGCCGAAGTGACCTGCTGCCGTAGAGTTAGGCCTAGCCTTTTGTAGGCAGCAAAAAGGTTTAACCATGGACCTATTAATAGGTCCATTGTTTAACAAAACATTTTGTATGGTATAATACCGATAATACAATATTATAAATGTCCGTATTGACTTTTTTTTTATGCCAAATCCCCAAGGGAGCCTAGGCCAGGCATAACATACAAGAATGATCTAAATTTTAAGTTTAACAAATATAGAATTCTTAATGGTAACTATTGGTAAGCCTATTTATTTGTTAAGTAAGGATAATATATATTTTAATAATAATAATATGGTTAATGGTTAACATAAATAGACGTCCACTGACTCGTTTGATTATCTGGTCAATATGTGGTTGACATTTCAAATCGTTTGAAATCCTAATACAGTACCTAAGATGTTAACAGAGATAGTGTGTTTAAGTTGCTTATCTTTGCTGCATGGTAAGATTTAGCAAATGTGAGATCCATATACATACATTTATCATGAGTAATAGTCCAGCAAACTTTGGTTGGTTGCATTTTTTTTTTGCTATATTTTTTAAAAATTGGATATGATGTAGAGTAGACATAGATAAATCAAAAAAGTATGTGCAACATTTTTTTTTTCATGCGTAAGGGGGGTTGCCAGCCGTTTCAAAATGGCCGCCATTTTTTCCTAAAATTGTCACTAACATTGTAAATTTATGTCATTAAAATGCAGTATTCAATTGGAAATCCACTGATAACAATGACAGAAACAGTTAACTAAATATTGTACACATTTTTGAGCTATTACAATTTAAAATGGCTGCCA